TCAAAATGTACTTGGACATCAAATCCTATGTCACCTTGTGTGAGATCTGCTCCTGCACCTAGCCCCACTGAGCCAAGCGCTTGTATACCCTCAGCCCCTACCTACTCCTCCTCAGCCCTGGGCAACTATATTCCTAGATTTTGCCACAGACCTTCCTCACTCTGAAGACTACACCTAGCTATTGTTAGTGGCCCTGGTAGTAGACTTACTAATCAAAATGGCCAACTTCATTCCCTGTCATGGCATGTCTGTTGCCCAACTGTTTCTGGAGAACATCTTTAGGCTCCACTCTGTGCTACCCAGGGTCATCTTTGACTGAGGTTTTCAATGGTATCCCATTTTAGGTGGGTGTTTTTCTGATTCCTACAAGTGCAGTTACATGCTTCCTTAGCCTACCACCCATGGTCCGATTGTCAGACTGAATGCACTGGAACAGTACCTCTGGTGCTTGTTGGACTACCACCAGAACAACTGCGTCTTCGTCCTACTACTGGCAGAGTTCACACATAACAACTCTGCCCATATCTCTACCCAGCAAACTACTGATTCCATCCCTCCTTCCACTTGCTTCTGCCTAGCTCCTCTCCAACCCCCACTACAGCAGACCTAGTAAACCAGCTGCAAAATATCCAGGAGGATTTGAAGGGCCACTTAAATAGTTCAAGGAGTCCTACAAGCACTTTGTAGACCAGCAGTATTGCAGAGCCCTCTCACTTAAAGTAAGGAATAATGTATGGCTGTCAGTTTACCATTTCAAATCCAGTTATTCATCCTCAAAACTAGAACCACCCCCCTACCCCGAGCCTATGTCAAATTACTGCATAGATCAACCTGGTGGCATCTTAGCTACAGCTCCCCAACTCTATAGATGTCTACTTTAGCTTCCACATTTTCTTACTGATATCTTATCTAGAAAACTCCTTTCCAGGCTTCTTGACTTCCTCCTTACCCCATCCTAGTCCAAGGACAAGAACAATACATTGTCAGAGAAATCCTTGACAACAAGGAAGTGCAAAGTCAACTTCTAGAGCTGGTCAATAGCTAGGCTATAGGCCAGCAGATTGCTTGTGAGAACCAACTGAAGATGTACATGTCCCTGAATTAGTCCAAGAATTCTACTGTGCCCACCCATAAAAACCTGGCCCAAAGGACACCAAAGGACACCCTAGAAAGGGGGGAGGGGTGGGGGTCATGTAATGAGTCAAGGACCAGCTGCAGCAGATCCAGTCTCAAGCCCTAGCAGAAAGAGGGTATCACATAGCAATGAAGACATGGTTATGGAAGCTACAACTTGTTTGAAGTAGAAGCAAAACATAAGATTGCTTACTCTCACAGGTTCAGGGGAGCTCTTTCTTTCAATATGCTTTGCAATGTCACCCTCAACTAAGCCTTTGTCCATTCCCATTTTATTCCTGATTTCTTTAACCACGGGGAAAATATTCCTCTTTCCTAATTAATCCCGCTAGTTTGCCCACTTCCTCTTCACACACGATAATTTGTCGTCGTTGTCATCACCTTGTAATCCACCACTTTATTGTTGCACAACACTACCCTACCATTTTTATTCTTTTCTCCAACCTTCCTAAAGAGTTTGCAACCTTTAGTGTCTTTATTCCAGTCACACACAATATTCTACTACATTTCTGTAATTCCTATAAATTCCAATGTATTTATTTAGTGTATGCAGTCTCAGGATATTGTTTCAGTCATCTTAAGGTGATGTCATCCTCAGCGTGAAGAGCTTGAAGGCCACCAGGTAGCATAGTAAATAGATATGAGTTAATAATGTGGGACATGGTTTGAACTTGTCCACAAAGGCATTTATAGTCATTGCAAAGGCCTCATTGGAATAGGCTTGAGGCAGTGACCCTGTCCAGTCTGAAAACAGTTGAGAAGTGCCCAATAACAGTTAAATCCTGGTTGACTGACTGACTGTAGGGTCAGAGACGATGTGGTGATTGATTGGTGCTTGTGCTGATCATTCTTTATGCCATTAAGTAAGGAAAAGTCAAAGGGTATTGAAAGGGTGGGCCATACTGGATGTCTTGAGGGGAGTCGAGCTACCGATGGGTAGAATATGTCCGAATGCACCGGCAGCGTAGGGTTATCATGGAGTCTGGCTAGCAGAGATAAGGGGAAGCAATGTTACTGAGGACTAGTAACCATGGGAGTGGAGTAGAATGCAATGTGCCTGACACAAGACACATTGTCACACACATAAATTCCTGTAATGTCCAGTTTTGTGTCACAAATAAGGAATTCCAGTTCAATGGAAGGAGACTGTGAAATAAAGCAGATGGTGTAAAATATTTATTTTCATATAACCGTATCCAAGTTTCCAATTAGAATGTATATGACCATCTTATTTCTACTTCCAGCTATGTTGATGCCTTCCTTTAACCTTCCTGTTTCTTGGTATCCTTTCTTCTTGGGCCATCCTGGTTACCCTCCAGTTACGTTTATTCCAAATATGGAGATTTTGTGGATTCCTTCCATTCTTTCCTCCCATCTACCTCCCTGCTCCTCTTCCCCATTCTTAATTTAGAGCTCTTATCATTTGGGCCAAACTTGATCCCAGAAAGCTATTTCCTCACTCAAGTGGAGCCCATACCTGGATAAAAGTCTCCTATCCATAAATACCTGCCAGTGGTCAAAGGTCTCAAAGCATTCACAACAGAACCACTCCCTAAGCTATCCATTAATCTTCATCATCTTGCCCCACCTTCTCCTTCCCTTTCCTGTGGCAGAAAGAAGCACAATGAGGATCACTTGAACTTCTACTTTTTTTAAACAACTAGCCCAACCAAGCATAACTGTTCATTATCCTTGTCAGTGACTAAAAGGCTGTATCCTTTGTTACTAGATGAAGAATAATTCATAGATTTAGTGGATTCTTACCTGCTCCCATCAAAATCCTCTTCAACCTTACATTGATATCTCATACTATTGCTCCTTACAGACAGTAGTTTTCTGGTCCAGATCATTCCTTGTGACTGGACTGTCTATTCTTGTGTGTAAATACCCAATTACATAAACCTGTGTTTTTCAGGGGTTCACACCTATCTTTTATCTTTTCCTTTCAGTGGAGCAAATATCATAAAACAGACAAAACATAAAACACCATTACACTGACCCTGGGTGAACAGACTGCTTCTTTCTCAAAGCACTCTGTATCGAACACCCCTGTTATCCGACTCCCATTTTGGCCATCCTTCTGGTCCTGTGCATCAACGAGCTCAAGAAAGGGGTGTATCTACAAATGTGCTCCAACGTGCATTAGCTTGTTTTAATGTGCATTAAAGTGTCACTAAAAAAGTGCTATTTAGTTAATGCATATTAAAATAAGCTAATGCGTATTGTGTCACTTAAAAACCATGTCCTTTAGTTAATGCACATTAAGACAGACTTATGTGCATTTTCCTAGTACCTCACAATGGAGGGTATCTATACATGTGCACCAGGGGGGTGGGGGGGGTGCTTTAGAGTGGCTGTGAGAGCCGCTCTAATTAAAGCACCAGGTGCCACATATATTCAGCATCCTGCACTTCAAAATGGTGGTGAGGGCGCTTTAACTAAAGCTTGTTCAACATACTTAAAGTGCCCCCGCTGCCATTTTGAAATGCAGGGATGCTGAATACACATGATGCGGAGGTGGCTGGAGAGTGATAATTAGCACACTCCAACAGACTCAATTAATCAAGCCTGCTCTGATGCGTGGTAATTAGCATGCGTTGGAGCAGAGGTCTGTCATGTGTATAGGTACCCGGAGGTACTAGATTTAATGAGCATTAACTAACACACGTTAATGCACATGTAGATGCACCCAGGAGGATTTTATCCAGTCAGATCTTGTGTTTTCTCCTGTTGACACATCTTTTCTTGAACAACATAGCATCTGATAGCATCATACTTATAGGCTTGGCAGTGCTACACTCCCTAGCACCATGACCGAAAGAGACTTGGGGGTCATGACTGACCACAAGATGAACATGAGCCACCAATGTGATGCTGCAGCTGGCAAAGCAAATAAAACTCTGGCTTGCATCTACCGATGCATCTCAAGCAAGACCCAAGAAGTCATCCTCCTGCTTTACTTGGCCTTGGTGAGGCCATGGCTGAGGCATGGGACTTTTCGGCCTGGAAAAGCAAAGGTTCAGGGGTGACTTGGTGGCAGCCTATAAATCCATAAGTGGTGTGCATCAGGAACTGGGAGAGTGTCCGTTCACTACGGTAATCCAAGAGAAGACAAGGTCTAACAATCACAAACTGCTGGAAGACCGTTTTAGACTGGACATAAGGAAAACTTCTTTACCATCTAAATCTCCAGAGTCTGGAATAGACTCCCCCAGAAGGGGTGCAAGCACCTACTCTGGATACCTTTAAGAAATGCTTGGATGCTTATCTTGCTGGGGTAATCTGACCCCAGATGACTTCCTGCCCTTTGGGCCGGGGGCTGGACTTGATGAGCTTGCGAGGTTCCTTACAGCCCTAATGTCTAGGAAATCTGTGATAAAGCAGGCTGTCATCTAGGACAGTGTTTCCCAACCTTTTCTAGCCCAAGGCACACTTATATAAATAAAAGTTTTCTGTGGCATACCTGTTAATAAGGCATTCCCCATCCACATATTTATAAGTTCATTATAGCTCGTTGCCATGGCAAAATTCTGTAGCACATCTGTTCATTTCTGACGGCACACCATTGTGCCATGGCACACTGGTTGGAAAACACCAGTCTAGGAAAGCTTATGCCTCTCTGAATTAGTCTCTAAGATGCCACCCTGCCCTGCCTTTTGCCTGACTTCAGACTAACATAGCTAACTGCATCTCTCAGCTCTATAAGTCTCTCAATTCTCTATGATGTTGTGGCTCTAGCTTCATGTGAGAGGGGCAGTTGAACCCTTTATGACAGGCTCAGAAATCATACTGATGGGTGTGTGCATGTGTGTGTGCGTGTGCATGTGCATATACACACACACACAATTGGAATTATATACTTATAGGACAAAGCTGGAATATATCAAAGCCTACATAGGAACCACATCATTAAATGGAGCAGATGGCAACACAGTGAAAGTCAGTATAAAGAAAGTGGTGCAGCACCCTTCCTACAATCCTATCATCCTGGACTTTGATGTTGCTGTATTAGAACTGGCAAGTCCCCTGCTCTTCAACAAATACATCCAGCCTGTGTGTCTCCCTCTAGCTGTGCAGAAGTTCCCTGTTGGCAAGAAGTGCATGATTTCTGGATGGGGAAATATCCAAGAAGGCAACAGTAAGCAATGTGCTTTATTTATTTACTCTGAAATTGTGAGTGATTAGACAGAAAGGGCTGCATCAGTGCAAGCCAAACAGTCCCAAGGCTATGCCAGAACTGGTAAAAGCCATACATGAACAGGATCTTAAGAGCCATGGAGGTTAAAAAAAAAAAAGCGAGAGAAAAGGGAACTCTCTCAAAAAAGAAAAACCAACCCTTTGTCTAGGATCCATGAATACTGCTGACAGCCTGGGGGGAGCCAAGGCCAGATAGGTTTGTAGCCCTCTCCATTATAAGCTCTACCATAGCCACTGTAACTTTACTGCGCTGTGCCCTAGATGACCCTATGCCTTACACAAAAACCAAGGGAAGGTTCTATCCCAGACATTACAAATTGAGATTGGACCTGATACAACTAGAAAGGGGGACAGACCTTATAGAGGGGACACAGACCAAGTTTAGGCACATGCACCATCAAAGGGAGCCTATTGTCTAGTTTAACTGCTATCACAAAGCTGCCGTGAATATGGAATGAACTTCCAAAACACTGGACAAAGTTAAACATGTTTATGCCTACCAAGGCCACAGTGGCAATGTCAGGATGTAAGGTGACATGGACTGTAGCTTACACAGAACGGCGCTCCCATCTTCTGTCTGGGAGTGCAGTGCTTAGAGATGATCCCAGAAAGGACTTCCTAACCTCTGTTAGGAAACAGTTCACTGGGGACCTGAAGCTGCCTCTCTGTAACGAAGCTGAAGGCAGCTATAGGTTACATAGCAGTAGTATGGTCTGCATTTGGACTGCGCTGGTCTAATGACCATTAACTCCCCTTTTTTTCCCATACCTGCACTTGTTAATCCCTCTGATTTCATGCAGTCACCAAGCCTGAAAGCCTGCAGAAAGCCTCTGTTGGCATCATTGATCAGAAGACCTGCAACGTCCTCTACAACTTTTCCCTTACTGACAGGATGATCTGTGCTGGCTTCCTAGAAGGGAAGGTCGACTCATGCCAGGTAAGAGTCTGAAAGTTCGCTCCACCTGTCTTGGGGAGAATTGGCACTGACTTGAAGATCAGGCAGTCTTCCAAGAACTGAGAGAGGCAGTTTAACCCTCACTGTCATAAGGAATGTAAAAATAAAGCTTCTTGTTCTTTAGCGTGTGACCTTCAAACTCAAGATCCTGTAGTTGTGTGGACAATCGATATTGCAGGGGGAAAATGGCCCCTCCCCAGTGTGGCCAGGCACAGGGTTAGGGTTATCTGGCTGACTGTTAAACACCACTGTAGGAAGATGTAATCAAGAGATGGAGTTTTTCATGCCAGGGTGATGTGCTCAGCTGTGCACTGAGCCCTCTGTAAGTGCAGGCAGGCTGAAAGCCAGAGGAGAGGAGAGGAGAGAGCTATGCTCTGTTCCCCTACCGCCTTCCACCAAAGCTCTCCAAGCCTTTCATGCTTCTCACCCAGGAGCGGATATCAATTCCATTCACAGCTGAGAAAAACTGAATGGTGATGAGGGTCTCAGGGAAACCCTGACGCAAGAGGCGCAGCAACGCTGCTACTGACACTCCTTCCTGCCCCTCCACCACAAATCTCCCTGCACAAGCATCAGCCAGTGTGCCTACTGCCCACGGTGGATGGTGCTGATAATGATTAGAGGCCTGGAGGGTAGGACTGCTATGTGGAAAGGTGTAGAAATAAAAGATGAGTGACAGAGCTGTTATGTGAAAGACTCCTCATGAACCCTCCAGACAGGAGAGGCATTCAGTGAGAGAGAGCAAGCACGTGGAAAGCGTATCAAAGAAAATGCCACTTTACCACATTTCCTTATGGCACTCAAGATCATTGAGGCCAAAGGGATCTCAGGACACTGAATGGCTAGGGAAAGCATGCATACCGGTTGCTGTAAGGGCATAATCAGGTAAATGCCTGCACTCTAGGGCATCAGCAGCCACAATCTGGAAAGACAGGAGTTTCTTGTCTTTTCCTCTGCAGTAGCTGGCACTGGTCACTGTCAGAGAGAGGAAATGGGGCTGAGGACCCCTTGGCTGTCCCAGCCTGACAATTCTCCCAGCTGAGGAGCACCATAGGGGAGTCTCCTGGAGAGAGTGCATTTAGAGGTCACTGCCTTGCTTCTCCATCAGGGGGACTCAGGGGGACCACTGGCCTGCGAGGAGACCCCAGGTGTGTTTTATCTGGCTGGCATTGTGAGCTGGGGAATTGGTTGTGCCCAAGCCAAGAAGCCAGGGGTGTACTCCAGGATAACCAAGCTTAAAGACTGGATCCTCGACATCATCTCACCCTTGCCTGCCCCTGAAGCAGGCACCTCACCCAGCCCAGCCACTACAAGAGCTTGCACCACAACCAGCTCCACAGCCTGGATCAGCACCAGCACCAGCAAAGCAGCTACAAGCCCAGCTGACAGGACAACCAGCAAAGCAGCAGCCACCACTAGCACCACCACCAGGAAAGCAACTGCTGCTGTTCCAAAGACAAGTGGTCCTGCCAAACCTACCCAGCTGCCAGGTAATGACTTGCAGGAGATGGGTGCAGGGAGACATGCAAGTATCAGTCACTTCTCCCACCCACACAGACAGAGTCCCGTGGCTCTCGGCCTTTCAGTCACAGCCCCTCACTGCCCCATTCTCAGGGAGCGTACCAGTCCCGCAGCCGGCACAGGCACCATGTTCCACATATTGAGCAGGCTATGGGTTATTGCCTTCCAGTGGTGCCTTGTACCAGCTTCACCTTCAAATGTTCCAGCAAGGTCTGTATTGGGAAAGCAAATCCGGAGTGCGATGGCATCACCGACTGCAGCAATGGCTCCGACGAGCGCAACTGCAGTAAGTACTGCCCAGCTCTGCCTTGCTCCCAAAGCCTGATCCCACAAAGTTCCTCTTGCCCCTAGCCTCAGCCTTGGGGCCCCTGGCTCCATCCCCTGAAACTGAGACAATCCCTACTCCTCGGGGGAGCTGGAAGTCGGATCCAATCCAAAACGTGCCATCTATGATAAAAAAGCCCATCCCAGGCTACTCCTCACTGCTAAAGCCTGCTATGCGGCTCATCTATCAATATGACCTGGCACAGCAATTCACAAAACATGATGGACCAGAACATACCTCCTGTCTGCCACCAGGAGCTTATTCCGAATGGCACAACCTGCCGTGGAAAGAGTCCTCTGCAATGACAGCTGATCCAACAAACCCAAGCCCGTTCATCCGTCATAGTGTCCTTTGAATCCAGGTCCTCAGAGAACTGTTTCCTCCATGTGACAGAAGAAGCAGCTGCCCCATCTCGGCCCCTTCCTGCATCCCCTGTAGGCACACTCGCTGGCCCCTGGCCGCCCCACCAATGTCTAGCATAACTATGTGGGACTCCACTGTGCTTCTGTCCATAATTCTCTCTAGAGAGCGCTGCACAGCAGGGCAGGAAGGGAGCAGAGGCCTGTAACTGCTTAACTCACTGCTGCCTTTTCATCTCTCTCAGATTGTGGCATGACTCCTGCTGTAGCCTTCAATAAGATTGTCGGCGGAAGTGCTGCAGCTCGGGGTGAGTGGCCCTGGCAGGTCAGTCTCTGGCTTCGGCGAAAGGAGCACAAGTGTGGAGCCGTCCTCATCGCTGAAAAGTGGCTACTTTCAGCAGCTCATTGCTTTGATGTGTAAGTCAGACAAGCTGCTCCTACATCTCTACCCAGGATGCAGCAAAACCGGCTCCTCTCTGCAACTCAGCCTGTCCTCAGTCCACCAGTGCAAGGCCACTAGAATAATCTATATGCCCTGCCCTCTCTCATCTCTCTCATGCCAGCTCCTGTCTCTAATGACATTTCCCCTTCATTTGTCTGCCTGTCATTGTGTCTGGGGATAGCTCTGGGCTGCTAGCCCCACCAGAACCACTTGGGAGTATCAGTGACACTTGGCCCACAGCTAATTCCGAAGAAACAGGGGCCTCAGTGCTAGGCCTTTCCTGTTAGGCCTAGGGGATCCGCACCAGCAAACACCAAGCACACAGCCATGAGTCAGGTGCCTGCTGCTGGACAGGGCGACAGTTCCTTTGTGTAGATCAGTGAATGCTGCTATGGTGCACTACAACCCAGGTGGTCTCAGAGTTGGCATGTGTGACATCTGCTGTTGGCTTCACTGGACCTAACCACCTAACCCCCACGCTCCTTTCTCCCTTGTAGCTACAGTGACCCCAAGATGTGGGTGGCCTTTCTGGGGACACCTTTCCTGACCGACATTGATGGGAGGGTGGAGAAAATCTACCGCATCTACAAGCACCCATTCTACAATGTTTACACCCTGGACTACGATGTGGCACTGTTGGAGCTAACTACGCCTATGAAATACACCAGCACCATCAAACCCATCTGTCTCCCAGACAACTCTCATATGTTCCGGGAAGGCTCAAGATGCTTCATCACAGGCTGGGGCTCCACCAAGGAAGGAGGTACTGGCATCAAAAAGTACTTTGCTGCAGAACAAGGACCACCTTATATGTGTAGTTATTGCCCTCAGTGTCCAACCACGTCTGCTCACTAAGCCGTACCTTTCCAGCTACAACTCATGCTATCTCACCAGATCCATTTATTGTCCATATTGTACTTCTGCAATCATTGCTTGTATCTTTCTATTCCATCATGCCATGCACCCATTATGCACCTCTTCAGAAATGTCTGCACTGCACCCACCCTTCAATAAGTTTCCCCAATAGCCAAACACAGAGACCACACCACCATCTGGCTAGCACTTGCACCACTCTGCTTCTTTTCTATGGAACTCACTTGACCGATATTCAAACCATCCCCATCCAGTGACAGTGCATCCATTTTCCTAGTCTACCACCTATACCAACCCCATCCAGCCAGCACTTGTAGCATCTGACAATTCAACCTCTGCACTTTTCAGTTCACACAACTACCTGTAACTAAGTCATAATGTGACTGGCAGCTCCAATGCTTATCAGCTCTGCAAGAAAGCCCAGGACCCTTGCTCCCCCGCCACAGGCCCTTGCTTGAGGTAACAAAGCCAACTGCACCTTACAGCCAACTGCAGAGCCCCAAGTCACGTACCTCATTCCTGCCAAAGCTAAATCCCAGGGTAGGTACCTAAACTAACTGTGACCTCTGCCCTTAACAGGCTTTATGTCCAAACAACTGCAAAAAGCAGCCGTAAATGTAATTGGTGATCAGGCCTGCAAGAAGTTTTACCCCATCCAGATCAGCAGCAGGATGGTGTGTGCTGGCTTTCCACAGGGCACTGTCGACAGCTGTTCGGTAAGTTCAATAACTGTACGGGGCTCCCTGGAGCAGAACAGGGAAGGCAAGACTCCTAGCAAAGATCCCTCAGCCCATTCTCCTTCATTAGGCACCTATCTTGTTTCCTCACTGACCAGCTGGTTGGACTTCCATCCCTGCTTCTTGCCAGATATTCCCTAGGTCAGCCTATACTTGGCACCCCCTAGGATCTGTCCATCCCCCCTTTCGCAGGTCGGTAGGATTTTACCATGGCGTCTGTCCCTCCAAGTAAAACCCCCGTCTAAAGCCACAGGCACAATAGCTGAGCCACATTACCAACAATGAGATAGAGAAGTGGCCCCCACTACCACCAGGGATGTGGCTTTCACAGGCAGTAGACACAAGGAATGAGAACACAGTGTAGCCAGGGTGCTGGGTGGGAAAGACCGGGTGGCTCCCTTTGCCCTGATGCCAGCAGACTTGCTTCTTTCTCTGCAGGGCGATGCAGGTGGCCCCTTGGCATGCAAGGAACCTTCAGGAAGATGGTTTCTCGCTGGAATCACAAGCTGGGGCTATGGCTGTGCAAGGCCATACTTCCCTGGTGTTTACACCAAAGTAACAGCTGTCCGGGGCTGGATTGCACAGAACCTCAAGCTGTAAAGTTGCAGTCTCCACTCAGGGAAGGAGAAGTGGAAGGTGGAGTGTTCTCCAGGGACCTGGTGCATTAACCTCTTAGCCCACACACATTTTATTGATGCTGCCAAGGGATGAAGACAGCACAAAGCCACGGGAGGACAATCCTGATGCTGCGCAACCTGCCGCAGTCTCAACACCAGGGCATTCAATAATCAGAGCTTGCTTTGCATATAATGGTGCGATTCTAGAGAATGTTTTCTATAAATAAAGAGGCCTGTTCTATTCAAGGCCTGATGGGGGCATTATCTACAAGGGCCAGGCCCATCAAGAACCCAGGCTACATGGAACAGGCACTGATCACTGTCACCACTACAGCCAGGAGACGCATGCTTCTGGCAGGCAATTTGCTAATGCAACACAGTAGTCAGATGTGTTCGTTATTACTGTATGTGCCCATACACATGCCAGTAGGTGTCTGTGTAGACCCCATCACTCCAAAGGCATCTGCCAGGTACAAGGAAAATAAGTGAAACAAAATTCATATGTCCAGAGTTGTGACCCAGTACATGTCTCAAGCACTGCAATACAATCAGTGACCAGCTACTGAGCAAGGTGTCCCTTCACCCCAGAAGCAGCCAAAACACAACCCCACAAATGCCAAAGATCCTTAGTGGAGCCCCCAGGTATGAAGCATGATTATCTTCCATCTAGACATCATGCTGCAGCACTGAAGTGTGGACCATTCCCAAGTACAGTGCTTGAGCTATCACAGCATGAAGTTGTGCAGGACTCATGTGCAGTTTCTTGGATTGGCCAGTTGCATACAACTTGTAGCTCTCTTTGGAAGGTTGTGCTAGTAAAGCTGGTTGGGTTCCAATATATATTGAATATATATTATATTGAATATTCAGATGGCAAACTTCACCCCTAACTTGTCTTATACAAACACAATTTGTGCCAACCCTGCAGATGCAGAGATTGGCACAAGAAACAAGGGGGAGTTCCCACTGTTATATAGAAAATCACAGGGGTAAGGGTCACAAGACAACAGGCCAAAGGAGGGAACAGGTAAAAGATAAGGACCATGATAACATATACCCAGCACCTTAATTTCCCCCACACCTCCAGAGGCATCCCCAAACAAGCCTTTAGTCCTGAAGCTCTCAAACAGCAGGCTACAGCTGCCCTCAAGTCTGAGTCCAGCTCCTTCCATCCACAGTCCTGGCTGACCAAGCCAGCTGGATCTCTAGCTCCACGGTGTGCTCGTTTTATGTAGGGCTAACCAGGATCCATATTCCCCACTGCTCTCTCTTCCCCTTAGGAACACGGGATTGAGTTGTCACTGCACTTGACTTTTTCCATACTTTGCCACCTAATTCAGTCATCAGCCTAAATTCAGGCATCTGGACTCCGGATTCTATGTCTGGGGAAGAGTTAGGAACCTCAGACTGGTATCCACACCAGCAGCACAATGGTGGAGGGCCATCCAAGTACAATACAGCATGCTGAAAAGAGGCCCAGGGCCTAAGCCCCAACTCTAAGAAGTACCATGCTTTCTCACATTTGACACACCTGACATACCTGAACATAATACACACTTTGTTTTTGAAAGGCAGAATGAAGAAAAAATGTTTTTTCTAGATTTATAGTTGCATGGAGCAGGGACACAGTCTAATCTTCAGCTTACTCACTCTCCCTTTCCTGCTTAACCAAAATTGAAACCTTAGCTGCTCCTGAAGACTGGTTTCCATGAGTGGATCTATGATTTTGAAAAGAGCTATTGAGTCTCCAAGGCTGTGAAATAGAGAGAGATCAGAGCAACCAGTAGGCAGCAAAATTGCTCTAAGGAAGGTAGGAGAGACAACTGTTAACATCTCTGGAACAAACAAGGGACCTTTCAGTCCACTGATTCCCTCAGCTGCCTGAATAGCAATGCAACAGCTGCTCCACTGTGAAGCCAGAATCAAAGCCGGATGCCTCTACCCCAAGCAGAAAATCAGATTCCCTACTTCATACATGCACCCCAATTTGGGGTTAAAAGGAAAGAAAAATAGGACTGGAAGGGACTTTGTAAGGTCATCTAGCCCAGCCCCCTGCTTAACACAGGAGCATCCCTGACTAAACTATTCCAGCCAAGTCTCTGTCTAACCTGCTTTTGAAAGTTTCCAAGGATGGAGATTCTACAACTTCTCTAGGTAACCTATTCAGGTGCCTGACCACCCTCATAGTTGGAAAGTTCCTCTTAATCCCCAACCTAAATTTCCTCTACTGCAGCTTGAGGCCATTACTCCTAGCCCTGTCCCCTACAGCCACAGGGAAAAGTCCATCTCTATCCTTTCTATAATTGCCCTTCAGGTATTCAAAAAATGTTATCAAATCCCCTCTTAGTCTTACTCTTCTCCAAGATAAACACCACTAGCTTTTTCAGCCTTTCCTCAGTGGTCTGATCTCGCAGACCCCTGATCATTTTTGTAGCCTTGCACTGGACTCCTTTCGAACTATCCATGTCCTTCTTGAAGTGTGAAGCCCAAAACTGAACACAGTACTCCAGGTGAGGCCTCACCAGTGCCAGACAGTGCAGAATCACTGCCCTTAATATGCAAGTGGCACTCATGTTACAACCCAAGATCCTGTTGGCTTTTTTGCAACAAGAACACGCTGTTGGCTCACATTCAGTTTATGGTCCACTGTAAGCCTCAGGTCCTTCTCTGCAGTACTGCAGCCTAGCCAGTCATTCCCCAGTCTGCATACAATTATTCTGTCTGAAAAGCAGGACTTTGCACTTACCCTTGTTGGATCTCATCTTACTGATCATAGACCATTTCTCCAGTCCATCCAGATCATTCTGGATCTTAGCCCTGCCCTCCTGAGTGTCCATAATTCCACCCAACTTAGTATCATCTGCACATTTGCTAAACCTGCACTCAATCCCATCATCCAAATCATGAATGAAGACACTGACCAATATTAGACTCAGGACAGACCCCAGGGAAATCCCACTTGATACCTCTCCCAACTAGACATTGAGCTACTGAGGACTACTGACCAAGTACAATGATTCAACCAGTTATGTATCTACCTTACAGTACTTTTTTCTAGTCTGTACTTATTTAGCTTGTCAATAAGAATGTTGTATGTGAGAACATATAGTATTTAAATACTAACTCTAGCCGGAGGGAGGCCACTGTTTCTGCTTGGGACACACAGCCATGAAGCTTCTCCTGGGCCTTGTCATGCCATACCCTTATACTGCATTGTATACAGTGGCTAAGGCACTTACCTGGAAGTGGGGGGAACTTGTTTTCAAATCTCCACTTTACATAGTTTGAAGAGTGCCCTAAAAATCAGGCTACAGGCTATATTAGGGCACTACCCTCTTTTCTAAAAGTTGTTGACCTATGCATGTGCAGGGCCATCCCGGGGGCGGGGCGGGCAAATTGAGGCCACTGCCCCAGGTCCCGCACTTCAGAGGGCCCAATGGAGCCGAGCCGGCTTTGCATCCAGCCACTCACCACCCCCACTGTATCCGGGCCCTGCACCCTGCTGCAGTCATCTCTGTGTGCATGTAACTAATCAGAGATGAAACTCAAACCTCATTATCTTACATTGCCTGTAAGATCTCCTAGTCAAGTGCTCTAACCACTGGGTTTCTTAATATTCTGTAGTAGTGGTAGCACATCTTGTTATTTTTCAAGATCAAGGCGTCCAGGAGAGGGTGTGTGGCTGCAGATCCAAGAAGAATTAGGCATTAACCTCAGGAACAGACCTCACTTCTCATTAGCATTTCCAACCAGGTGGCATAGACAGTTCATCAGGCTGGCTGCTGCGAGTCCCACTGCTACAACCGTGCCTTTCTTCCAACATTGTATAAGGAAGCTTGATGCCTAACTCACGGCAGTGAATTTCACTGGGTGGCAGGTGATTAACATTACAACACTTTGGGTGTTTGCAGACCCCCCCCCCCAAAAAATAAATTTAAAAACCCCAATGCTGCTTTAAACTCAGTGCATTCCTAATTCACTCCTTTGCCGGTCCCGCTGCCGGTTCTTCCGCCTGCCCGTCTGTCCGCC